ACGTGGGTCCCACCATCTGCTTCTCCTTTTCCCGCCAACGGGACAAAAAAAATTCTCGTGTCCAGTCCGTTATCCCTTTTTAACCGTTTTTTTTTTACCACTTGAAGTAATTTTTTGCCGCACGTTCATCGAACGTTACGGTCATTTTTGCTCATCCATTTGACTTTTTTTCGGTTTCCACTCGCCCCAATGGGAGTCTGCGGCGTCCATTGTATTTTTGTTAAAAGTTTTTTCCCCCCGCGTCTCTATTTTTTTTCCTCTCTGGTTAACACGTGTCCAGCAGAAAGAAAACAAGAGCCGCTGCATAAAAGGTGTAGTTGATTTATTTATAACTCTCCGATAGCAGCTGCTGTGAATGAAAATAAAGAATAATTTTCATCAATAAAATAAAAGAATAAAAAAAAGGTATTGCAGTAAAAAATAAAATCCTAACGAGTGCAAAAATAAGCAATAGTCGTGAGAATAGGAATCACTTCAGCCATAATGCAAATCGTAAGGGGAATACAGATGTTCACATACACCATGCATCCCCAGAGAAATAAAAAAAAACGTTGTGCGACGTGAAAAAGATAGAAATTGTCATCCACTCGATAAAGTCGCTCTCTCGGTCGTGATAAACTGCCAAGTGAGGGATCGAACTCTCGTCGTTCTCGTAAACATCTTTGAGAATCACCCCCAAGGAGAGACTATGACTATACACACGTCGTAGTATGGGATCCGAGAGGTTTTCAGCAGCAACAGGCAGCCCGCATGTGGCCCACCCCCTCATCCTCCTCATCCTCTTCATCCTCTTCATCCTCCTCTTCCTTCTCTTCCTCCAACTTCCTCTCGGCATTTCGAACGTGCCGCACTTGCTATCTCCTTTATTGAAATCCAATATCACTTGCACTTAATTCAATCGTCAATGACTCCACAGCCCTACTGCCACATTCACTCTCACTACTATATTCTTTAATACATCATTTGCCGTTTACATCCATTGCAGAATTGATCGATTGGAGATTTTGTATGATGGGAATCCATTCCATCCCTCCCAAAGATCCCATCCCCCAAGATCGTTAAAAGTCTGTACGAATCGAATCGGTCTTTGATGTGTCAGAGGTCCGAGCCAGGTGTCTCCGAAGCCTTCAAATGTCCCGAGGTCAATTCTCTCAATAGTTGACCACTAACCCCTGAAAAAAAAAATGGGGTCGAGACTACGAGCGTTAATCTCCCAGTGAACCGTTGAATCCGTTAAATACTGAGTCTTTTGACGCGAGCCAAAAAAAAAATAGCCTCGACATAAAAAATCATTAACAATATGGAGCCGGCCATTTTGATAGCACAAAATGTACTGCCGTTGGGGGTGGAGACAATGAAATATGTATAAGAGGCAAGTTCCATGACAAAGGCCAATCTCATTAACCCTTCACTCGGTGAAACTCAACCTGAGGGCCTAGACGGGGCTCACCCCTTGCCGGTAGCCATGGCAACCCTTCATTCCCCGTTCACCCTTTTTCCTACATTCTCTGAGTGTGTATGAAAGCACTCCCATGGTAACACTTCAACCTGCCATTTTACCCATCCATCGCAAGGTGTATCGCATTCATCACTTATCCTTTATTATTTTATTATAAATCTTCCTCACCCCTTGCACTCCTAATAATTGAAATAATTTCATCCACTTTTCACTGGAAAATTTTTCAACTACTGGTAAAGAATTGCTTTCTGTTAAATATTAAAGAATGGAAAAATACCTGAAAGAACCCCCCCTCCCTTCAAAAGCAAACACTCAACTATTTGAATAAATAAATAATCCGCGATCACTTATCGATTGCCACAATGCCTGGCTGTCACAACAAAGTTGAATCCTTTCATTTGTGGAGAAAAAATAAAAACCACCCCCAGATGAATATTTGGAAATATTTAAGTGGATCTCCGATGTTTTCCAAGATAGTATTCCACTGACAAACCCTTGAGATGGACTGGCCGATGGGGTTTTGACCATAGAATTAAAATGAAAAGGGTTCTAATCTGCATCAAGTGGATAAATCCTTGACGCATCGAATTTCCACTCTTGCCTCTCTCGCGGTGGAAATTTTTCATTTAAAATACTCCTCCACTTTTCTCATCGGAAAAGGAGAAATCTCCAAGAATAAACAGAAAAGGGAATACGTTGGGTTAACGAGAAGACGAAAATAAATTAGGGAAATGTGGAACCGCTGCAGTGGATTCTAATTATTGTTTGCTCTTTCTTTTTCGAGAAATCTTCTCATCTCATCCCTCGATTCTTTATCTCCCTTGGCGTTTTCCGTTTTACACGCCCTCGACGAGATTAAATCCGCCTCTGCGATCCACCTCAGACGCCCTGATAAAATCATTCAAACCAAAGGAATCGAAATTATTTGTCTAGCTAAGGAGAAAAATCAATTGAATTCATTGCAAAATAAATTCAATCTTTTCATGGGGAATTTCCAGCCTATTCCACGTACCTCAACAATTCCATTGAGAATGATTTTTCAAATTTTCATCCTATAACTAATTCAAATAATCGAGAAACCGCGAGGAATGTCACCTCGACATGAATTCTAAATCATCTCAAAATAGTTCCGTATCTCGTCCACTTAAATTTTCAAATATCCGTAAAAAATTCACCATCTCACCAGTTGGATGAATCTGTTCCTAGAAAAATCCCTCCCAATTATTAAACAATTAGAACTCGCTCCACTTCTCACCAAAAAAAAAAATCAGTGATAATTTTTCATCAACACAATATCGAAATAACTATTTACACGATTAAAGTGAATGATTTTTCTGCGTGGAAGGAAAAATTAATCCAACGAGAATAAAAAGGACGTGATTGCGTGGAATTCAGGGGAACATGCCAATAAGAGAAAACGAGTGGCAGGGTTTCGGTAGAGAGAAAATCAAGAGGATGGGTAAAAAGAAAAAAAGGATGAGATGACTTCCTTCAACCCACCGCACCCCCACAAAGTCTCCTGGGGTGTATAGTTACGCATCTCCCTTTCTCTCTCTCTCTCTTGCTCTCGCTATCTCACTCGGGGATGATAAATATAAAGGGAGGACGAGCAGTTAGGGGTGGCTTCAACCCTCTCGCTCCTTGCTCGGTCCCCAGAAGGACTACCTTGAGATCAATACTTTTTTATGCGAGTCCGTAAGGGGTATAAACCCTGGGTACACCGAGGTACCGTACTTCATCCCCCTTCCACTTCACTCCCCCACATCTCCCTTATTCTCTCTACCCGCCCTCCACGTGCCGCCGTAATCACGAATATCATTAAACTCTCGGCTTTCACGACCCGTTAAGGAGAACCGTCTTCTTTGAATTTTCTCTTATTTATTTCCTTTTTTCCAAGTCAATGATATTTTTTATAAGCTTTTCTTTCCTCGCCAAATACTGGAGTGCATAGTCCAAGTCATTAACCAACGATAAGTACCTAATTATTTTTGTATTATTCCAAAAGAATATCGTTATTCTCATTTGTTATTGGACAAACAATATTTTTTACTATTTTTTATTCTTTCCTGTTTCTCTTCGTCTTGTGTCGACGACAATTTGTGAAATCGTCAAATAAATCCTCCTATTTTCCTCGGTCGTTTGTTGAAAATTGGTGAAAGCTTGGAATGCAGAGGAAAGCCACTCACTTTCAGCAATACGCTCCACTTTTTGTCCTTGAATTTTCTCTTGAAAATATGTTACTCAAGGAGATGCATAAAATGCTGGAGCCCGGTGTGACCAATTTGCCAAACCAAAACTAGAGCAGAAAACCTTTTCCCAATGTTTCAGTGATTTATTGCTGGGTCCAGGTAAAATATTTTTCCCATTCTCCGTAAGAGAATTTCAATCGGCCTTTCCAAAAATTCACCATCTTCAAAATCACACCACTGCACGGAGAGAAAAGCAAAAGCAAAAAAAAAAGCACAGCCACCCCCGCCCCACGCCACTTCGATTAAAATTTTTTTTACCCGGAGTCCTGGTGACTCGACGGGATTATTCCTGTATTTTTTTTTCTCCGTGAACATGACAGTTTGCAAAGAATGTCTTATATACCCTGGTTAGTCGAGGTAAGCGGACAAACCGACCACCGGAGGTGTAAACGTCGAAAAATCGAGTCCCACAGTTCGTTTCGAGAGGAAGGATGTTTCAGTCGTAAATCTACGAGTTAGGCAAAACTGGAGCAAAATTTTTCAATGGCTTTACAGCGTTACAGCGTGACCCTACGGGATCCCCCAACAGTGGGCGCGATAAACATTTCCAGTAAACACCATCCCCGAATTTTTCAACCCCTCTTTGTTCCTCCGGTTGCCCGAAGGCACCTCGCAACCAAGTTGACGCCTTGGTGATCGGTGGAACTTCCCCGCCAAGATTTTCCAAGATTACGTCAAGCCTGATTTATTCCCTGGGTTTATTACACCCCCTTTCTCAACAACTCAAGTTCCTCTTATATTGCATTTATCCGACTGTTTTTCCCCGCTTTTTTTATCCCCCCCCCCTCCATGGGCTTTTTTAATCGAAAGTTGAGAGTAATGAAAAATTTATATTATCCTGGGAGAGGGAAATATTTTGAAAAGAATTGAATCCGTGAATGCGAGTCTTACGAAGCTGTGGAAATTTCACGAGACCCGGATTATTCAAAATGATATGAATTCGAAGGAACAGCCTTTCTCATCGGTAGTCACAGGGCGGATGTTACATCGATGTAAAAGAACGAATCGGAAAGGCCTTGGCTTTCGATACACACATTGAGTAAGAAAATTGTAACATAACAGGGAGGGGTGCACCGGGCTTTTCCAAGACGGGGTATAAGGAAATGGGTCCGAGGGGTTGTATTATGTCCAACTGCTCGAGTATCTACATGCTCTCGCTTTTTCCTTCTTTCCGTTTTCCAACAAATGGATACTGAAAGATGTGGCAGACCAGAAAAAAAAAGATTTCGCTCGGGTGAAGAGATGAATTGAAAAAAATGAGGGTTCGACAGGTAGAGATTGTGCAAGTTGCGTTTGTAAAAAAAAAAAATCTTTAATGCTTGGATGATTTTAGCTCAACATCAGATACATGGGAATTTGAATGTTACGTTGAGACAAAAAAAATTGTTATAAAAAAAACATGGTAAAATAACCGCCACACTTTCGCTTCAAAAATTCCACATAATTATAACTAATCAGCCCTCTGTCTTTTCACATTCATCAACATCGTGTTGATTTGCAATCAATAATAATTAATGACGTGACATGCCTTTCTGCGGAGCACTCTCGCTGCTCATGTCAGCCATCCGGGAGGATACTTCACCCCTCGCTACACCCCTGTACCGTAGATAACAACAGCAACTAGTAGGGAGCATAATTACACCTTCTGTGAGCTCCCCATTCTTAACTCCCAGGGCTTGTCGGACGATATGTTGCTGTTTGCACACTGTATCGTATCCCGATGCTGCAGCAGCATGATCCACAATCCTGCAGGTGTCATTTGGATTGCTAAAAAAATTGTCAGTGATTTTCAATTGCATTGACGAAATCATATGTCACACAGAGATACTCACCTGCACCTCTGGATACGAAATCCCTGTTGGAAATTTTTTTCGTTATCCCTTTCAGATTCTGTATTGACGATGAACAACCACTCGTCCTTGATAGTTTTGGCTGCTTTGGGAAAAACAATAGTGGCATCAGTATCGCAGAGAGATTCGAATTCTGACACTCCGATTCTCTGACCGACATCGAATGGAGGATCGACAATTGCCAAGTGCATGAATTCGTTACGTCTCGCCTTGATTGCATTCATAATGAACTCTTTGGGATAATTAGGGACGTTCTCGCAGAAAGTTGAGTCGGAGCAGGAAAGTGGGAGGTCAGGGGCCATCCTGGAGATTATCGGATTACCAGGAAAAATTATTCTGCCATCGGTGGAGATTCTCTGTGTGGATGCTGCTGTGGAGAATATCATTGCTCGATTATAACAATTGAGATTGTAATTGAGACTAGGGGAATTACCCAATTGCATCGGAAGGAGACGATGTCTGTGCGTATGGGCTTCCCGCGTTGATGTCTTATCGTACTCTGAGTCAGGTAGATCTGACACGCCATCAGGAAAAAATTGTGATATCACAGAAGAAATCTGCCGGGAATATTAATGAATAACAAAACCACACGTACATCGTAAAAGCCACCTATGACGTCTTCAATCTCCATTTATTATTCGGTGAATCATTGAAAATTTTATTTCAATTCCAAGACTTTCTCATGAACGTCTCTGAATGGAAGAACTTTAGAAGGCCATTCAATTCAATGATTGTTTTTATAATATGATAATCACTATCAGTTTCACTCTTCAACGGAACAAAGTTCGCGATACGCATAGCCAGATGAAGCTTTCAATTTCTGTTTTATCAAGCAGAGCGATACACTGAGGCAATGTGTAACAAAATTATTAACTCAGCTCAAATTTTAACGTCCTTCTTTTCTCGGTACCAGAGTTATTTCAAGGTTTCAGCAATTGTACTAATGGCCAGTAAAGAACAACGAAAAAAAAAATCGACTAATTAGAGATGTAACAATGTGCTTCCTCAATTATTATTACTACTCTCATCTGCACTCTAATTATAAAGAAGCATTATTCTTCGTACATGAGAAACGGTTCTGTAGTACGCAAACGGAATAATTATCGACTATCCGTTGACATTGATGTGTTGTGTTAAAAATATGATAGCCATGAAGATCAACTTACACAAATGACCAGCGAGATGAATAATAATGCTCTATCCATAGCAAACACAACGATTTCTATAGAAACTAAATTATTTAATTTTTATTTAAAACTCCAAAGTAATAACGTACACTAGAGAGAACTATCTGCGATGGACTGATCCAACGGTCATTTCACGAATCGACCAGAATCTACATTGGCAGTCATTTATTTTTTTAAATTCAAACAACTTGGATGAGAAACACGTTATTCGCGATCGTCTGGTAAAACCTGCTTGGAGATGTAACTCAAACACACTGCACACACTAAATAAATGAAAACTTATGCAAGATTATGATAGAACGGTTTACGGAATGTCAAGTGGTGGGGATTCGTGGAGGAGAAGGAATAATGAAAGAGTTTGGCGTGCAATGCTGTCATTCACCTCTTCCAGAAAATCTCAGTCGATTTTGTCATTAATCGTGACACTTGCCATTTATCCTCATCACGTGGATATGATGCAGTATGAAAACCGGAGCATCTCCATGATTAACAAAACCCAAATAATTCGAATGCAGATTAATCGATTAAAGATTAATTATTGCCAATGGAAATTGAATAAATGCAGAAGGAATAATTAATATAGAATGCACACTGCATGCTGATTTATTAGCCTTGCAGATAACCATCTCCTTCATCCTTGATATTCAACGCAACCTTACCTAATCTCTTTTTAATTGTCTGAATAATGAAAATAAATGATATATGATTGACGAGGATTACTCAATGACTGTGATAACTCCATTGATAATACGGTAGAAATGATAAATTCTGCCGGAAGCTGGCTGCCATTACGCTAAATCCCCGAACACAAGTAATTTACCAGTGAAGAGAGAAAAATAAAAGTGAAAAGACTGGCTAGAGACAATGCGGAATGGTCCAGTGGGCGAGCCGACGAAGATGATGGACGGGATACAGTGGAAAATTCGCTGGTGGTCAGAGGAGCAAAAAAAGAACAAGAGAGAAAGTACCTGAAGGGTAAGTAAGGGAGCCAGGTTAATCCTTAGATTGGCTTTGGACTTTTTCCCCTGCTACCTGACTTCAAATGACTGACTGACCGATTGACCACGTCGAAGACTGACCAGACCTCCCCGACATGTCCGAGTTATTATCCCGGATTGGAATCTAACAAGCGGAACAGGAGTTCCTCCCGGTAATTGCGGGTTTTACCCCTTCAATCCATTAAAACAACTGGAATTTTTCTTTACCTCGCAGCGTTCTACCAAGAATTTTATTATTCTCTCGCTATTTGAGGGAATCGTGACCAAGATTATCCACATATTCAATTCTGATCTGGTCTGATTCCCCGGTGAAAAATCTGAGCGCACGAGCCGACAAAAGATCCACCGCGAGTTGAAAATATAAAGAAAGTGGATAAAGAGGAAAAAAAAAATACCGATGGCGCGATGCCACGCGCTCTTTATTTATTCCATACTGTGTCACGCACGTCGATCATCCCGATCGTCAAGAGGCTCTCTCCTTCCCCCAATTTCTTATAACAACGTGAATAAAGAATCCCCAGAATCCCCAGAATGTCCTGCACCCACCCTGGAAAAACTCTTGAGAATCCATGGAATATCTCGAGTGCAGCTGTTGCTCTCCGATGCACAACATCGATTGTGTCGATTTCTCTTCAATTTTCACGCGTCATGGCATTCACCCCTGCATCGATCTCTCACTGCTCGATCAATCCATGAATTTAAAATCAATTACCCAACTTTAACCAGTGGATGCTTTTTAAAAAATCCAAAATTTAATGAAATGCAAAAATCCAATGGCAATCCATTAATCACAAAAACACTTGGGGCACGAGAAAAAGGCGTGCGGCAAAGGCAAAACGAAATTTTTGAAAAAAAAAAGGAGCGAGCCGCTCCCTTAATGATTCTCCAGTGGTCTTGAATAGGATTGGGGGTGAAAACCGCCAAAGCCACGTGGTCAAGCGGCCAGAATATCCATTGTCTATGATTCTGCTAAGCTGGAGCCCATCAACCCAACAATAAAGAATTTCAGTGGATGAATGATGAAATACATTTCGCAATTATCGTTTCAACAAATTGAAATCCTCTGTTCTTCTCCGGTTTCCCATTCTCCACAAGATTGCATCCATCTGGTCAAATGAGTCGTCGAAATGATCACTAGGTGCTACAAAAAAAACTAGTCTGTGTCCGGAGGAATTCGAATAAATTACGAGAGGAATGAAAGACGAGAAAAAAAATCAGCAGGTGCTCTTCTGATGTTCACCTAATCTCTCCTATAAAATTGGAGAAATAGAAAAACGTTAAAGTACGATGTATAAAAGGATGTGCCGGGTGCGTGGGTTGCGCAAAGGCTTTTCCAGGAAGGCACAAAAGTTTCAATATATCAAGTGCAGTTCTTTTTTCCGTCCTCGAGACGGAGATCCGGTGAATAAAAAATAATAAAATAGAAAAAGAAGGGGAGGTATATGTAGGGAAGGGAGCTTTAGGTACACATTCTGATGGTCAATGGGATGGGGTGGTAACAATGACTGAGATCTTCCCGGTTCCACACATCAATATCCTAACCCATACAAATACCTAATGTCAATTTTTATTGATTCTCCTTCAAAAAAAAAAAAGATCCATTGATTTTCTCCTATTATATTATCAAGTTTGTATGTACACGTGAGGATGTGCACACGCGAGGATTTGTTTTAAAAAATATTCTTCAATGAACTCTCGCTCTTCAATTAACATTGTAAAATGGAGAATAAAAATTCAGCGTCAATTATAACCGTCGAATTCCCCTGAAAAGCTTCCGCGTGCCTGCGTTAATCTCCAGCGTCGCCCCCAGGTTCAAAGGATATAAAGGGAAAAAAAGGAAAAAGGTGAAAAAAAAAAAGAAGAATAAGAAAAGTCAACCCCTCTAGCATTCCAATGCGGGCCATAAAAATGTTACGAGTACACCCCCATACAGTGGCTGTCGCTGTTGGTTATAATCGAAGATTAATCGTCGTCTCAATCGGCCAAGTGGCGAAGTACAAGGCCGTACCGAGAAAAAAATCCTCAAGACCAAGAGGAGAATAAATAAAAAATCATAAGAAGAGCATTTGTGAAAAGAGATGTGGCAGGTTGGCTTGGTCTTGCTCTCTTTCCATTTTCATAGTCTCCATTGTGTCCACCGTGACAATTACTCTGAGATTAGAGTGAGAATTTGCGAGAGACTGTTGTAAGTGAGAATTGAGAGAGGAAAGAACCAAGTGAATGGGATCTCCACATTTACGATCCACTCCGAAACCATTCACACATAACTCTTGAAATATCGTCTTAATGCGATACAATTGTCGAGATTTAATGGTGTGGTTGACACTACAGGTAGATTGATTCTTTATAAAGTCCACATCATTAATATGCATTTGGCGACATACTCATTGTCAAAAAAATAAAAGAGAAAAACTCTCATTTTTTCCAATGTGCCTCACACATGCTCCCTAAAAGTCGCCCTTGAAAATAGATAAATGGGTAAAAGTGAAAAGCTTCTCCAGAAAAACGTAACTCTAGTGTCCGACCGGATGCAGACGCGCCACATATTGACCCATCCACGAAAAAACCCGAAAATCGCCTGCTGTGCATCTCGAACAAATGTCGCAAGTGTAAAAGACAAAGAGAAAAAAAGGAGAGGAGAGATGAAAAAAATACCAGAGACTAATACCGGAAGTGAACACGTGAATGCAATGCATCACACGAACAACTGCATTGGAAAAATGTTGGACATGGATTCTCGTGGTGATTCTCAAGCCTTGAATATGACAGATCCATTATGATCTCAGGTGACACCATTATCTATTTCTTGGCGTTCAAGGAAACCCATCGAAACGTCACCCCTTCAGTCGGTCAATTCCACTCCATCCTCTTCATCCTGAGCCCCTCACTCTTTCTATCATGCACAAGAGCCTCCATTATTTACCCTCTCAGCCATCTACCACACGCCAATTTATCAATTTATTATAAATTTCATAAATCTTTTAACATTCATCATATGGCAGTTCACCGATGGAATGGCATCTTTCCGTTAATTTATGGAATGAAGTATTAATGATTTTACTACGTTATTAGATGAGTACCAGGCATTCGAGGAGGAGATGGAAATTCTTAATGCGGTGAGGAATATTGATGTCTAAAAATAGGATCAAGTACTTGTCAGTTTTGCATTTTTTCGAACACATCGCTTTTCATTTACTGTCTGAAAGACATGGACGGTCAAATGAAGAAGATTCCATGACCTCAACTGACATCGATATTAATTAATTATATTAAATAATTACTGACGGGAATTAAATATTTATAGGTTAAATCCTCCAACCATTATTATACGGTATTGCGCTCAGCACTAAAATATTGATTGGGTTATCCGATGGAGCACAAAAGCTACTCAAAATTTATGAATTTTTAACGATTAAGAGTTTTGATCCGAACGTTGAGGATGAAATTGGATAAAATTTTCTCGTCACGGAGTGCACTCTTCACAATGAGGCTAATCCATTATTTACAATGGCATAAAATAAAATTGAAATTCAGGCGGAGATTGGAGATTGCGGGAAGGGGAGTTTGTCGCATTAATTATAATGGAGAATTTTCGAGGAAATGAAGGGGTGATTCTGGAGTGAAGTTGAATATCGGCCACGGGCCTTCATCGACTATCGATGAAGGGATATAATAGTCACTAAAACGCGACAGTTGTGCAAGTGTTGGCAACGAATGTGTGGGTTCCGTCAGTCTGTCGATCTTTTCCAAAAACAGATGTTCTCATGATGGCTCATCGACCTTTCAAATTTCCCTCATGACTTTATCGAGAAAATATCATTCAATATTTCGATACGATAACTCCACCATATCTCTCCTTTTTCAAAATCTCCATAATCATTGGAAAAATTCCATTGAAAACGCCAAAAGGAACATTCCCCTTGAAATTCCTGAGGAAATTTCTCGGAGCAAAAAAAAAATCTCAGGAAGAAAAGACGAAACGAATAAAATACGGTCGTTTATCTTTTTTCTCCAAACTGGAGCTATTTCCCATGGCCTGTGACGGTGGACAATGACTCTCGTGAATAGTTCTCGTTATTGCTTGCGGTGGTCCCCAACACATATACCTTTACCCATACACATTTGAAAAGCCATACTCTTTTAGAGCCCGGGTGCCCCGGGTGCCCTGGGTGCCCTGGGTGCTTCGGTGCCTTGGGTTAGGTAAGGGTTGCGTTTTCTCATCTAGTTTGTCGCATGTCTCTCCATTTTTTTCCCTTGACCGTTTAACGATAAATCAGGCGTTGTCCATTCAGCTCGATGTTTGCAGCACATGGTCTGGGTACGACTTCCAGGTATTCCAAGATACGGAGAAAACCTGAGGGTCTCTTGTTCCGATAATTTTTTTCATCGCTCTTGAACGTGTTCGACAGAAGGTCTTGATCATCCGTGTAATCTCATCATTCTCAGCATACAAAAAAAAAAAACAAATTAATAAAGGCTTTTTTTTTTTAATTAAATAAACTGGACTTGGCCTAGGCAAAATGTATGAGGTATTAGGTGAAAAAAACGCGGATATATCGGAGTCGGACAAAGTGGTGATCGTGTTTCACGACCTAGCACCTTCGAATATCCCCAAGGATCGGCTGATGCGGGTGTCGCAGCTTCATCAAAGAAAATTTCTTCCACCATGTTTTTCATTTTGAAACTCCTTTCACGCACTCTTATACGCCGGCAACCCCTAGTGATCAACTGCACGCCTCGATGAAAGGGTTTTATTTCCAACGAGCACAGCAGCCGCAAATACGATTACATGATGAGGCCATCCAATGAAAGGAAAACGTCTATTTCATAGACCCTTTTTTTCGAAAGAGTTCTCTCCAAAGAGGTAACAATTTGTAAAAATGTTTACCCTGTGGATAAAAGAGTCTAAACATATTTCCCCAATTTTCCTCGTTCTTCGACATTTCATTAATTCGCTCCACTGATTTTTTTGTCCATTCCTGGAGGTGTTGATGCATGCGGAGCAAGTACATGGGTGAAAAAAAAAAATTGCTCGAGCGAAATAAGAAATCCTTGTAGTTTATATTTTCTCAGCAAGAAAATTTCTATTTAGTCCGGCATTCGTTGCCCCCCACGTTATATCCCAATATGTCCTACAGGGAAGAAAAAAAAAGGTAAAGGGGCAGAGGAGAAAAAAAATTAGTTCCCGAAATTCATTTTGGAGGCCACGTGGATGTTCATTTAGATAGATACCCATCATTGTGTAAAACCAATGGGAGTTTCACCCCGAAAACCGTACAAAACTCCTCAGAATGGAGAGCATCGCAGTTTGGGATCAGCTGCAACCCATAAATATCCTCAGCCCTTTGAGTCCACCGTTATAACGCTCAACCCACTGTCCTAGCAAATAGCTCCTTGGTGGTACAGCTCTGCTGGTTGACCATAGATCGACCTTCGAGAAAATATATTGCGTCTGACGGATTGTTAAACTCTTTCAGCCTCCGGAGGATGCCCAAGTCGTTAGACCTGACTGGTGCTCATTCTGTCTCTACGCATTTCAATATATGGTGAGAATAGTGCGATGAATTTATTTTGATGCACCTGGCCATGAAAATAAACAGACTTATCACTGAGAAACAAAATTTCGAGATAACCCAACGGTGGATGACTCAAGATTCTCAAACGGAAGTGACGGCCCTCTCCCAAGGGTCTAGATAATTTATCCAAAAAACAATTTGACATTTCACGTGCAGGCTTGAGAGCTGTCCGACTCATTGTTTGCACTGATAAAATTTCTATCGGTCGAAGCACTGAGTAACCGAAAAGAAGCCGAAATCGAACGTTCTAATCTGGATGGGGTCGTAAAATGATCTCAATGCCAACGCAACTATAATAAATAGTTCCCGCCGATGGTCATAAAATGTGAAATACTATTTCATGGGAATCGTCGAGTCCTTTCCTCGGATTACCGAAATTATCGTGAGGCCAAAATCCTCCCTGGATCAATGGATCTCCCATCTTTGACGGGATATATATATATATATTTTTTTTTTGGGGGGGGATACAGGTACAGGGATATTGTGCGTCGAGTGGGGGATTCGCAAGGATTTCAGTTGAGTAACCGTCTCGTAATGCAACAATGCCATCGCGGGGGAGGTTTCAAGCTCTTTTTTTTTGAAGAGGAATCAGTCGAGATTATTGCCGAGGAAATGCTGATTAAAATCTTCAATTTCTTCAGCAATATTTATTATTTATTGCCCTTAACTGCGAGTATCAATTATATTTTCAGATTTTTTTCTATTGACATTACCCATTTTTTCTGGCTGTCATCCATATAATTTGGTCTCGTTACGCTTACTTGTGGTGATGCTCGTAGTCATAATCGTAATCATCATCGTCGGAATGGGAGTAATCGAAAACATTACAGTTGCAGATGAGACCATTTTTCGTCTCAAACGAGCATGTCCTGTGCTGACCAGTATAAATATCCGCTCCATGATAATCAATACAGTCAATTTCGGCATCATGCCCCTGGCAATCATCATCCGTTGAACAATCTGAGAATTCAAAAATATTCTTCGACTTATAAATTTTTACGCTTTACATCAGATTTTAAATTTAAAATTCTTACGAATTTGTGCACTGGAGAATGCAATGTTCATGATGACGATGAGAGAAAAGATCAGGGAAAGCTTCGACTGGAAGTTTTTCATAGCGAAGTGAATTTGATAATTCGTTACTCTTTGATTGCTTGAGTATGACTGAATTAAATCAGCCCCAAAGACACTTTTATACGAGATGAATAAATTACGAGTTATACAATGGACACCTCGCACGAATAAAATTGGTTCATATCACCACAATCAATCGGCCTTCTATGCATAATTTCCGCTGATGATTACTCGTGCGGTTTCTTATTATATATAAAAACAGAAAATCTTCTAATTAACGAATCCCCGAGGCCATCCATTTGATAGTAAACAAAGTATTTAATTCCACTTCAAATCAGCATTTGAAATTTGAAATAAATTTGGATAGAGGGCGGTAGTGGCTGGACCCTTCCCCCGTAGCAGAAATTCAATTGAAATCTCCCGCCATAAATACTAGTGTGTATATAGTATTTTTTTCTGGGGAATTTTAGATTGTTGAGTTGGCGAAAGTGAAGTCAGAATCCATGTCAGTGGGGAAAAAAAACAGAGGAGAAAAATATACGAACATTTTTGGTATCACGAGCGATTGCAACTTGTGAGTGAATAAAAGTGCATCAAGAACATAATTTTTTTATTCCCATCATTAATAATCGGAGTAAAATACACGTTAGACCAATCTGTGTTTCGTAATCGAGAAGAAGATATCATGCCTGACGAAGAGAAAGGTAAGGTACTAATGGGGGAAAAAATGTTCATGTTTGCAGGGAAATTGCACTCCTCCTAGGATGCATTATGTACACGTGAAATAATTGTGATATAATTTCACCAGTCGAGGAATTGACAAAACAGAAGTATCGCAGGCGGACATGGGATGAAATGAAAAAAAATGGTGTTGGCCATAATCCAGCGAGTGATCGCCGTCACAGACGAATGCCAAGGCTTCCAAAATTTGTAGGTGCAGAGGATGCAGCTAAACGTTTGGCTGATCTGGCTGAGTTTAAAAATGCCAAAGTCATAAAATTAAATCCAGACGAGCCACAGGAGCCAGTCAGACTGATGGCACTGAAGGCTGGCAAGGAGATACTCATCCCAATTCCACGATTGAAGTCAGGGTTATTTCTACACGTGACACCACCTGAGAACCAAGAGGAGATTGACAGCAAGATATTCACGTCAAAACAGGAGTTGGTGAAGCATGGCAAACCTCTGGGGCTGGATGCTGACATCAAGGTGGATTTGGTAGTGATGGGAACACTTTGTGTCAATCGTCTGGGGCACAGGATTGGAAAGGGCGAGGGATTCTCTGATCTCGAATTCGCCATGATGATGAGGATGGGGGCAATTAATCAAAACACTGTTGTCGTCACGACAGTCCATGACTGTCAGATCGTCGACGATTTGCCACCTGGATTGGTTGAGAAACATGATGTACCTGTGGATATTATTGTCACACCTACGCAGACGATTTTCGTTACTGAGAGGCTGAGAAAACCTGATGAAATTTTTTGGGATATATTGACAATGAGAAGGATCAAGTCTATGCAGATACTGCAGCAGCTTAAAGAAATGGACGAGAAGTAAATATCACGTGTCGATTTGTCGAGTATTCCATTACTTATTAATATTGTTTGAACAGGGAGGGAAAGGAGATAACTCTGAAACCAGACGATCCCAACCATTCCCAGAGGTGGAAGAGATACGACAGCAATTCTTCAAGGAAACGACGAGAGAAGGCACCATCAAAATCCTCTTCACAAGACAATCACCAAGATCTCGACCAAGAGGAAAACAAGAATAGAGAGAGTGAGAATGGAAAGAGTCGTCCAGCGAGAAAACGTCGGACAAAGTCGAAAAAAAATGATAAAACTGATTCTCCAGAAGATGAGGTGATCTATTAATTAAATCAACTCAATAATATTTATTAATCCGGCTTTATTATCAGAAATAATTGATGAATAGTTAATTTTTAGCAGAACAATGAGAAACCAGAAAAATCACAGCGTCCTAAAAAAGGGAAATACAAACCAAGGTCAGGCATTGATTTTTCCCTGAAACTTTCGAATATTGGTTCGGACGTGAGAGTTCGTGATTTAAAAAATGCCCTGATAGAGCGTGGAGTCAGGCCAACAGATATAACATGGTGTGGATATCGTGGATTCTGCTACCTTCATTTTGGTAAATTGAGAAATAAGAATTCAGTGCCAAATGAACCAGTCCAGGTTGACTCGATTGTTGCTAATTTACAACAATTGCGTGTTGGTGAGGAATCAAAGAATACAAACGATGAATACATTATTGTTGAGCCTGCCAAACCCATAACTAGGATTGAAATAACTGACGTTACTGCCGTTTAACTGTCAATCTAACATTTTTTCCCCCTTTCTGAAATAATATTCTTTCGTTAATTCAACATGTACGCGTAAGTTAGCTTTTCGTCAATGCTAGAGTCGTATAAAATGACTGAAAATTATGCTTGACTTATGAATAACTAGGGTCTTCCGAGTTTGATCATTTTGAGATTGAGCTCTTTGAAATGTCAAACAATTCGAATAACATTTAATTTTCATTTATCAATGTTGCTTACGTTACAACGTTGCCTAAGCCGTTGACCTATATATATAAATATTTTTTTTGGTCTCTATTTTCACAATCAGAGTTGAAAAAATGATGATTAGCGTGCTGTAATGCTCAATTAATCAGATTAATAACAAAAAGAGTTGATGAAATATTGTGAAATCTATTTTTTGAGGAATAAAAATATTTTAAAACAAATATTGCTCTCTTGAAGACAATTGAAAATTCTCGATAAATTATATAAACTGAGAGTATAAAATATAATTTATGTTATATAACTGCGGGTTATTCCGTCTGCCACTTGTCGTGTTGCATTAGTTATTTTAATTCGAATTGAATTTTTAGGACGAATACCCGTAATTTGTGATATTAACATACATAATTTCATGCGTTTTTTTTCTCTCTCTTTCTCGCTCTCTCTCTCGCGCGCGTTTTATTTTAAAAATTGTAAGGATTTTTTATCACAATCATCAGTGACACATAGTAATTCTGTGTTACCATACGATAATTACAATTTGTATTTAAGATATAAAGTTAACACAGTCACTCGATGTGATAACAAAACACATATACTCCATCCTTCCATTATTTTGTGCCTATTTTATATGTTCCAATGCAATAAAGCATTTATACTTTCATTCAACAAATGGACTCATTATCAAAAGGACTTTATTAAATTTAAGAAAAAATTCACTCACACTTGAAGATTTCTCTCAATTCTCCAGATAAGAATTTTTAAATGTGCCTCAACTACAAAATCGTTATCATTAAATAGAGTATATACACAGCTTTTGCTTTTCAAAGATCAAAAATACATTGACAGCTACGATTTTGGTTTTAAGAGGTAGACGATTCTGGGGTGACATCAATATAGTCAATATCCAGCGAATGGGCCTGTTCGTTTTGTTTATTTTTACGTGAAGACACATATTCCAGACGAGAGCGGAGACTTAGACGATTTATGCGGTGTCTGTCGACATCAGTCTCTCTGTAATTGGCCATTTTATTTTTTCAAATTCTCCCCACAAGTTTGCTAACATAATAGAGGAAAATTACCTGAGTTTGGTTTCAGCATGCGCCATAGCTCGCCTGAGCTCCTCTTCCCACTCAGCCTCTTTCATCTCCCTCTCTCTGCGCTCAATTTCTCGTTCCCTATTGTAAATTAAATATTCAGGTATAAAGGCAAGTTTAATTGAATCAATTCCATTCGACAAACTCGAGTCAGTCTGTTCAGTGATTTCCTGACACCTCAGTGATCGCTGTTTGGCCAGTCTCTTTTTTTTCTTGTGAAGAGGTCTGGTCTCGATGATCATCTCTTCGAGCTCGAAGGTTGGATCGCAATTGAGGTGATCCTTGGATGGTGTGAATACAGGTTTCACTTGCTTTTTCAGAATCTCATCGAAATCGAAGGCAAGCATGGCATCGGTCTTCTGAAGAGCCTCTAAAGTGGTCAGACGATTCTTAGGATCGAATGTGAGGAGAGACTCCAACAGATCAACAGTGGTTTTGCTCCAGTTTGATGGGGGCATTGGTCTGCCATCCTAAAAATATTTTTTTCTTCTAAAAAATTGTCAGAAATCGACATCAATTCACACGTACATCCAAGCGACAAGTGTCAATTTAGAGCTGACCCAATTCCACGTTTTATTTCTCTCTTTATTTATGGCTCGACTCCTCTGATGGATGGAATAGGGCTGTGATAAATAGAAATTCCTCACCTGCATGATGCGAAGGGCTTCGGAGTGCGTGGTATGTGCGAGTACGTGAAAAGGTCTTACTCCTTCGAGGGTTTCCCATGCAAGAACCCCAAGACTCCACCAATCCACTGAGTAATCATATCCGAAAACTCCAGAACTACCGCACGTGCACATGAAGATTTCTGGAGCTGTTGGTTAAACGAGAATATAAATTCTTTCTTTTTTTACCGGTAGCCGACGAATATTCCGTGAACTCTCACCTATGTAGGGCCTCGTTCCTGATACCGAAGTCGCCAATTGATTTTCCTCCAGAGTCGTTGCCACATTGAAATCCGTAACGTGTGCATGCCCTTCAGTACCAACAAGTCACATTTAAAATAAATCCCCCTGACATTAATGAAAACACCCACCTTCCTCGTCCAACAATATATTATCCGGTTTCAAGTCCCTGTGAACAATTCTCTTGCTCCTGAGGTAATCCAGGGCCAGGCCAATCTCAGCAATGAAGAGAATGATACTTGACTCTGAGAAATGAACTTTCTTCTGAATGTGATACCTCAGGTCGCCCCCCAGTAGTAAATCCGACACCATGAATAAGTCTTCCTCATCTAGAACCCCAGGAATTACGTAATATATGCGAGGAGGTGGGAGTCTGATAAATATTTCCCTACCTTGAAAACTAAACCAGAGATTGGCTAGGAAGGGGTGTTCTAATTTAGACAGAATCTCAACTTCACGAAGAACATTTCTAAGTGCACCTCTCTCAACGCACTCTGTTTTACGGACGTATTTCATCGCGTACATTTGCCCCGATTTACCTCGTTTCTCCACAATGCAGACTTTACCGAAACTTCCTTTGCCGATCGCTCGGAGAATTTGAAAGTGATCGAAATTAACTGCAAGAGATATATTCCGATTCCACAATAACACAGCTCAATATTTGAATAAACTTATTTATTTAGTGGAAATTAATGCCATTGCGCGTTATATAAAATAAAATTTGAACAGCTCTCACCCTCTTCCCCAGGTCCTGGAAAGCTCCTGGAGTGACTTCCACCCATGGTAGCTGATGGCTTTCGTGCGTTTGCCAATAACAACGTACCAGACGTGAATCGATGAACGTCATTCCCCCGACACATGAACTTTTCGCATTATCTCGGTATTAATACAATTGACATGTCAATTAAAAGCATGATACACCGTGGGTTGTCTGTGCCTCAAAGAAGTAGGACTCACTCACTGAGTACCAAGAAAATCCACCATATATACAGACGGAGCATTATTGACGTTTGCTCGCACCATTTTTTTTACACAATTATATAAAAAACAGTGGAAAAACAATGAAAGAAATTAATTGACAGGGGATTGTTGTTGGTGGAGGTTGAGGGCCTCCTCGGAACACTCCTCGCCTCGGCGCAACCAATTCACGAGTCTGCGTCCTACAATTGCATTCATAAACATTCAAAATGAATGTAATACAAGTACGGATATGCGACTGCGCAAATTCCTTCTGGGAATGTCCATTTGCGCAAGAAAATGGAGGAGGTATTCACGGGAATTTGAAAATTCAAAATTTTTGAAAAAATATCAGAGTAGCATGAAAATCGAGAAGGTATTTGCGGAAATTTGAAAATTCAAAATTTTTTAAAAAATATCAGGGGAGCATGAAAATCGAGGACGTATTCCAAAGAGGTTTACGTAAGTAGAGTACTGCACCCCAAGAGAGGAAGTCGATAGGGTGAATTTTATTTTCTGCTGTACGAATGCTTTTTGTTTTTCATTTATTTAACTGAAATTTAGCCGACTGTAGCACGTACGGAAGGGGGAAACCACATCTCATGGAATTTCAATGGAAAAAATTATTCAATATGTTGAAGATATACCACTAATGAATTTATAGTTTTAAATGAAAACGTTGTCCTAGCGGTAACGTGCTCGACTGGCATGCCGGCGGCCCGGGTTCAATCCCGGCATCATTCATTTTTTTTTTATTTAAATAATTCCAATTTTTTTTTTTTGTTGATGGCAAATCAATCGAAATATTGTTTAAAAACTGAATATTTGATAATCGAGAAGATATGCAATGAAATTGAACAATTTGACATTTTTAAAAACGAAAGTTTTTCAATATATATACTACAAATGAAATTTTATTATTGTAATAGCGCGTTGGCCTAGCGGTAACGTGCTCGGCTAGCACGCCGACGGCCCGGGTTCGATCCCGCCGTCATTCATTTTTTTTTTTAAATAATTCCAATTTTTTCTTTAGGTAGGTATTCAC